TCTACACCCACTCCTTTGACTCATCATTATTCAGATGCATCTTCACTGAAGTGATCTTTGAACCAACACAAACGTTCTATGTGGTAGATATAACACGGAAGAAATGATTGATATACACAAAAAAAGAAGAATGGATGCAGATAACTAAAAATGAAAGAAGATTAAGATACCCTTCTGTAACAATGGCATCTTGAAATTAAACAGGCAAAATCAAGAGATATTAAAATGTGTTTGTAGTATCCATATGCTTCGGGAAGAATCTTAAGGATTCTAGAAAGGCCTAGAATATTCAAGAAGTCACCAATGTCTTCTAGAGAGGTCGGGCATATGTAAGGGCAACACTAGCTAAATGAGTCTAAAAGAATTTTGTTCATGGAATGGTTCTCTGAAGAGTACAAGAAGAAGAGATGAACAAGAAAGTAGTGCACATGTCTTCAAAGCGTACACAGCACTTTCCTTTAGACTTAATTCACCCTCACCTATTCCTATCTTATAGGATGCAAGTTGGGATGTCTGACAAATTTTCTTCAGAATACAATGAAGATCCTTGAATATGGATTGCACTTCCAAAATTCAAGGAAAGACAACAATAGTCTTTACAAAGTGATAATTTAACTTTATTTCTGCGTGCACTCAAAGACAAAAGCAATGAGTTTGATTTTAGTGTTTGTGTTGTGTTATATTGTATATCTTCCAAATGAAGTGATGGTGAATGGTTTATATAGATCATGAGATAATGCCTTGAAGAGATACCTTTTGGAATAGTACCTTATTAAATAAAAAGTCACAACTTTATGTTGGTTCATGAACCAACATAATTTAAATAAATACAATGTATTTAATATGTAGGGTCTTAATATTGTAATTTCCTACATAACCCTTCATATAAATATATTAATATATATGAAGACACAACCCCTCATAAAAGTATATTAATTTATATGAGAACACAACCCTTTAAATAAATTTATTAATTTATATGAAGACAAAACCCCTCACATAAATTTATTAATTGAATATATTTATATAAAGACATGACTTTTTAAAAACACATTTTTTCATTTTAAAAATATTCCAATAAATTTTAGGAATATTATTTTAATATATTTTAGAGGAATCCACATATCCATATATACACACACCCACACGTGTATTTAGAGGATTGTCTTGTATCTTGGGAGAACATTCTAAAAGAATAAAAATAATAGAATTAGATTGATCTTTTTAATAGATGTATGAATACCTCTACCTCTACCCCTCTTCATTGGTAAATACTCCTTACCTCATTTATTATAAAAAACAACTACCAAAATCATGTGAGTCAAAATGTTATTTAAATTTAGTTTAAAATAATAAATATGTATGATATATACATATTTTTATAATTATACTGTTATTTGTAAAAAGAGTAAATGAGAGATAATAAGTAGAAGTTTATTGTACAAAGATAATAAGTTGCATACATATTTAATAAGGAAAAAAGTTGTAAGATTGATTTAAAATTTCAAATAGAGATGATTTGTTTCTTGTATTTAGGGATATCACTATATATATATATATGCATATATATATATAATTGCTTTTTATAAGAAGGGTATGAGGGATTATCCAATAGTTGAGTGCTTTTGTATGTGCAAATACTAGTAACATTCCCTCCAAACTCCCAAAATCGAGAGGATGATAGGCTTAAGGCCGACAAGGTTTAAAGAAGATGAAAATTCAGAGGTGTTTAGTTTGGCTTGTAATTTTTAAGTTTTACATTGCACGAATTAAATATATGAAATACGTTTTTGTCCCAGAAAGTGCAAAAAAGTAATTTTCTTTAATTGATGATCTCAAATATTCCCTAACCATAAAACTTCACCCTTCATAAGAGAGCACTGCTAATGAATTATGAAACAAGGGTGATTAATTGGACTTTTTAGCTTTAAATTTATGGTCTACTATATAATTAAGGAAACCATTCCCTTCATCATATACACAAACACGTACATATCGGAATCAATGACATTCTTCATTTCCTTCAAGGATTCCTTCCGCTATCGATTTAAAAGAAAAAAGTATTCCTTCCAATGAAGGTCAGTTGGAATATATGAAGGATTGTGCATATGCCTCATAGTAATCCCACACCAACAGTTATTTTTAATAAAATTATATTACCCCCAACCCTTAATATAACAATTAGTTAAAGATCCAATTTAGTCCCAGAGATATGTGATCTCAATTCATTTTGTTTCCAATATTTATCTATTTTACTCCCACATAATCCTTATATTAATTTCACATGTTAAGAAGTTTCCATCAAAAGGTAATTTTAGTATAACTTAGAGTATTCTCAATCTATTTTAGACTTTAAGTTAATCTCTGTCAAGCCAGGAGCATTAAGATTAAAGTTTTTCCAACAATTACATTTTTTAATATTCAAACTTATGTTTTCCTCTTTCCGAAAGTGAGACAACCTACCACATGATTAATAGAAACATTTTAGAGAAGACAATATTTATATTATAAATAACTAATTTATTTAATATTTATAAATTATTTATCTAGTTTTTATATCCGGAATTGGAGGTAGTATTACTTTTTCTTTTGGGTAAACTACAGATTATAATATTTGACCAAAAAAAAAACTACAGATTATAATAGTTTGGTTTTGAATAAAAATATTGAAATGTGGCAGGCCTATCCTTTAATATTTGGAGGAAATCAAGGATGCGCTTTAAAATGGAAGAAGAAACGCGGTGGTCCAAGTTTGCGGCTATGTCAGACAACATAGCCCACATCTTTTACTTTTTCAATCTTTGTTTTTTGTGGGCAAATATGTGACACGTAAATTTGTTGACCAACATCTGTCTCTTCAACAAACAATATCCTTTGCCAATCTATCATATTTATTAATACAAACTCTAATTTTTAATATAAAAGATAATTAAAAATTTAGTTTGGTTATAAAGATAAGATTATAATTTATTTTATCTCTAATGTTTATTTCAAATAATATTTATGGTAATTATACATGTGAAAGAATTATTAGCAAAAAGTAAATTCAAATAGACATGATTATTTTCAATATTATGTATGATATTTAGTTTTGTTGAATCACATTTAATTATTATTAGCTTGAATAAAAATCGATATATATGTATGTGTATATTTCTAACCTTTAAGCACTTTCAAAATAATCTATATATGTATATATTATTCATTGCTTATACATATTTAATATATATTACTCTTTTGGTCCTCAATATAAGACTTAACTAATTAACTTTAATAGATTAAAAATATTAGTTAAATTAATTAATATGATATGTTTTTTTAAACACCTTAAACATCTTTTTTAATTTAATTTCCTCCCTCCTTTTTCTACTTAATTATTATTTGGGAGATATTAATAAGGGTTAGCTTAGAAAAAATTGATAAACTTGTAAAATAAATCTTATATAGAGAACAAACACCAACTCTTCAATTAGATTTTATATTAAGCACCCAAAAAGTATTTTATACTTCTAGTCAAGCGTAAGCTATATTTGGGCAACAAAAAAAAAGATAAAGCAAGATTTATTTATTTTTGGCCTGAATATGAAACAAGATTAGTAAATGAATTTCAACGGAATAGAATAATAAAATTTAACAAGTTTTTAATTTTACCCTATACAATATATACACTTTTGAAGAGAATAATCTACATGATAATAAAGGAAGGTTAAATAATATATTCACATTAAAAATTTAGTAATATGACTTATGAATAATATGAAATAAATAAGACTAAATAAAGAGGGCAAAAAATACCAAATGAAATGAAACTTTTTTTCTCTGCGGCTTATAAATATGAGTAGAGGAATAAAAGCAGAAGAATAAATAGTTAAAATGAATATTCAACGGAGCACATGATTAATTAGTTGTGGTTATGCGCCGAATTCAATCAGGAAAATCATTTTCTTATTCCACGTTTTACCTAATCTTCCCAATTAATATTTTGGTGAATAAATATCATAACTAATTATTTTCTCTAAAATATCATAACAAATTACAGCCATAGATAGACATTAGAATTCAAATAATAACAACTTTTATTTGCTTGTTTTTATTTTTAAACTAATGCGTTATGCATGTGTTATTGAATTTTAATCACAACTGCTCCCGGTACACAACATAAGTTGTTTATTAAAAAAAATACACTTGGTCCAAATATGAATTATTTGGAGAGTAATTAATACTTCTTTTGGTTCTCATTATAAATTTCAAATAACTAATTCACAGATAATAAATAATTAGTTAAAATTAATTTAAAAAATAAATAGGTTATAAGTATACTTTTGTCTTCAAATATGTTCTTATAATAAATAAGAAAAAGGATGAAAGAGAATATGAGAGAAAATATAATAAGAGAGAAATAATTAAAGACAATACTAAAAAAAATGCATTAAATGTCAATGTAAACTCATACTCCTTTGGTCATATTTATACATAACTATTTATAAATAATTTTTACATGTTTTACACAGAACAAGAAAAACTTTAAACTTTATTAGATCTTATTTAAAATTCAACAAGTTTTTAACTTTATCCTTGTTTAATAGTAATATATATTATACCTTATACAGACAAAGTTAACACAATAATAAATAAATAGTAAAATTGTACTTTTATATAAAATGTTTCTTACAATGTCCTATAAATAATACTAAAAATTATCTTTTCTCTCTGTCATATAAATAGAAACAGAAAAATATTAAAGTTTATAAAATAGATCACATCCATTCCCAAATTTAAAGCTTATTAATAAGAGTATAAGACCAGGAATACCTATTTAATTTGTCAATTTTATTCCTATAATTAGTACTTACATGTAACTGTATTCTTCATGGGTAAAGTTAGAAAAAATTTTAATTTGAAATCACCAGTTGCATAAAATTCATCGTCTAGCAATTATGATTATCATCCCCAAATCAAACTCAAAAGTAATAAAGAAGCTGCAGAAAAAGACTGTCGGCAATCTCCAAATCCTCAATGGCAAGCATATAATTATGAGATAATATTCCATTTTCAGAATTTTTTTTCTTTGTACAAAAATCAAAATCAAAATTCTTCAACAATCCCATAAATATTAACACATATAATCACGTACGTCCACCCCAACATCGATCAAACAAAGCCACTTCTACCTTTCTAACTAATAATCTAGAAAAAGAAAAAAGCACTAAACTAATTAACTAAACACATAAACATTCATGCTTGTGTTCTTCTTTTCTCTCACTCCGACGGAATATCCTGTCTCCGGCCACCGTGAAAATCCAGAAAATATTTAATGAATTACCTTGATCTCCGCTTCGCCGGCTTTCTCCTCCGTTGACCCCTATCGCCGCCGGGCTTTCCGAACGCGCTGCAAAACCCACATGCGGAGAGCTTCGGAGACGGTGGTTCAATAGCCGGAGACACTTTTCCGGTGCGATAGCCGCCGTTGGAACGGCTTCTCTGGATGGTGTTGGATGATCCGACGTCTACCTTAAGCTCTTTAATCTCAGAGTTGTGATGTTGTTGTTGAGGACGATCATTATTATCTTCCTTCTGGTTCACCTTGTTCAATTCGCCTGATAAGAATCTGTCGTCCCAAACAAGCCCAGACGAACCTTGTCGTCGGAATGATACCTCAGATCTTTGAAGACCAGCCATGGCTTCTCTCTCTCTCTCTCTCTGGATCTTTCTATATCTGTGTGTATATATATATCCCTGTGTGTGTATGTATGTATGACTTTTATAATTTGTATTTGTAATATAATATGATATAATAAATTAATAAAAACAATAAGGAGGAAAATGGAAAATGTCATCGCGCCAGCCCAGTCACCATCTTAAGGGATTTTAATTTTATTATATTTTTTGTTCGGTTGCGCTGGGGGCTTACCTGTCTATATCTAAATTATTTGTCTTCATGAATTTTTTTTTTATTTCTCCCTCCGGTATCCCACACCCTTCGAGTGCAGACTAAATCCGGAATCACCCCAGGTGGGACTTCCTAGGATCGAGCCCATGCACTAACAGGTACGTGGCGCCTTGCCTTCCTCTTATCAACTAGGCGGACCAACCCTCCCGGGCTCTTCATGAATTTTTTTAATGTTATATATATGTATGCACTACATATATATATATATTAGTATATTACTAGTATGTATGCACTATATATATATATATATTAGCATATTACTAGAACGAATAATCAATACTTCTAAATATTAGAAAAATATTGGATACCCTACTCATCTAAGGGAATGTTTGGATAGAAGCCAAATCATGGTTTTAAAAATATTTTTACGTATACAAAATAAATATGTAGAGGAGTCCGTCTCGTTTTGTAGAAAAATATTTTTAAAAAACACTTTTCCATCTTGCCAAACACCCCCTAAACATTTTTTTACCAAAAAATTATTCTGAGCCAAAAAAAATAGAAAAATAAAAGCATCGTTTATCGTTTATAAAATTATATTAAAAAATTGTTTTGAAAGTTTTCTGAGCTTCACATAATTTTTATCAAGTCTATGTAGTTTTATTTTCTTTTCATTTTTAATCAGGTCCCTCCAACTTTTTTTAATCAGTCGCATGAAGCTAAAGTCACCTGGTTAAAGATTAGGTAAATGCATGAGGACTTGACTAGCCAAAAAATTACAAGGGCCTTATTAAAAAAGAAAAGTTAAAAAAAATATTTCTAAAATTTTAAAATCCCAAATCAGAAACAAGACAAAAATATATTTTCATTTTTTTCAAATATTATTAATTATTATTAAAATATAGTAAACAAAATTAATTGGAAATTTTAAAATTTAAAAATATTTTTTTAGGAATTTTCTCTTATTAAAATTAGATGAAACTAAAAGACCTATAGCAAAATACAAGAATGTGGTTTAAAACCATAAAGAAAAAGACGCTAACGTTGCAGTTCCTGCTTGTGAAAGGCACGCAATTTCATGGCGTGACGCACGATGAGTGCCACGTGTGAAACCAGCAACCACTACGATAATTCCTAGTTTTTTTTTTTTCGCCAACAGATAATTACAAGTTGATATCATTGCCAAGCATCAGTCAGTTCAATTTAGGGAAGCCTGAATTGAAATTATGAAAATGTAAAAAAAATAATCAATTTGTTCTTGTATGACATAATGTATAAACAAGATAGAGGTAATATATAAATAATAATAACATAATTTGAATTAACAACTTTCGAACAGAAATTACAAGTTCTAAATTGATAATAAAAACTCGTCATTAGGATATATTTTATGAATTGAAAATAACAGGCTGTGAACTAAAAATAACAACAATAGAACTCAAATTAACAACTTTTGAATTGGATCATTAGGATTTGATTTGACTTGTGAATTGAAAATAAAATGTTGTGAATTGGAAACAACAATAACAGAACTTGAATTAATAATAACTTGATCAGACAAGGGTATATTAATCTTGATCAAAATTACCCTCATTTTATGTCATTTTGAAGTGTTAGCTGCACTTTTTGAAATTTTCCTATATTCAAGGTTTTTTTCAGTCATTTTCCCCTTTTTTATGTAATTTTTTCAAAAAAATTGTATACTCTGAAGAATTTTGAATTTAAAAAATTGAAGAAAAGCATTGCGCTAATAAACCCAACAATTTTTTTTTCCTTAAAAAAGGAGATATTGTCGGGATAATGATAAAAAACAGGTAATCTAATCTGGCCTCTCTATCTTATCATAATTAAGACTTTAATCATACTTCTCTTTAGCCACCCTTTCTTTTATTCAACCAAGCAACGTCACAAATGTTCCCCAACATATAAATATATACTCTTCCGATCTTTAATATAAGACTCATTTAACTAATTTGATTAGATTAATAAAGTTAGGTAAGTTAGTTAATTATAAAAAATGTGACATGTTTTTCCTAAAACACTATAATCATCTTTCTTAATACCCTCTCTCCCTCTTCTATTTTACTATGGTTGAGGGAGTATCCATAAGGATAATTTAGAAAAACTTAATAAATATAATAAATGGGTATTATATTTAGGACCAAAACCAACTCAGCAATTGGGTCATATATTAAGGACCGGAGGAGTATACACACACACTACTAGTCCTATTTATAGGGCAGAGAGAAGACATTTTTGGTCATATTTATAGGGCACTAAGAAATTTTTTTTATATGAATATACGATTTTATCTCTCATTTATTATTATGTTAACTTTATTAACATAAGGTATAATGTATATTAAATAGGAATATTGTTGGAAAGTTATTAAATTTTAAATAAAAATTAATAAAGTTTAATGTTTTTCTTGATTTGTGTGAAATATGCTGAAATTACTTTATAAATAGGACCAGATGAGTAATATTGAAGAATTCATTCAAAATTCCTCTAAGAAATGAAATCATGATTCCCAATTTGCAAGAAGTTGTGGTTTTGAATTTGAACAATTTGACTTTCATCAAAATTCAATTGAGATTGTTTTAAAAAATAATATAATCAAATTAGATTTAAAGTCAATACAGGTAATAACGCATCTAATGCACATGTATAAAAAGTATAGTCAGACACTAAATATGAATATCCTTTTTAATTAGGAATTCAAAAATTTGATTTGTCATGTTACTAGATATTAACTCACGTCCCTTCACTAAATTCAATTCTCATTAACTAATGGAGTGAGTAGGTAAAGAACAACGCGTAAGAGGGTTAGGTCTAACACCAAACTGTACATCTCTCTTGTGACTTTATTTATCATCATTAATAAAACGCAAGAAAATGCATTCATAATTTCTCTATCATGCTCACCATTTATATTCATCAATCATCATCACCTTTTTCTACTTATGCTTTTATTACTATATTTGTGCGCATAGCTTTTCCAGTGTCAAAATTTTCATTCAAATCAATAATTAAGGAGTTTGAATTAACATAGTGACTGATTCAATGAGAGAGGTGGTGGTATGAATCCAAGTCATGACCGATTTAATGCTTTTGTGGTCAAATTTATGAATCCACTCCAATTTTTTTTTTCTTTTCACAATCATATTCCATAATTGAACACATTGATTCAACTTTGCGTTCTTTTTTCTAGTAATTTTGTTATTCAACTTTGCCTTCTTTTTTCTAGTAATGTTTCCCTTTTCAGTGAGATCAGATAATGCGTTTGATTATATATATGAAAAAACAAGCTTTGACAATATATATATATATATGAAAAAACAAGAATTGATCAAATGAACATTGTCAAATTGCCATAATAAAAAATAAAATAAAATAAAAACTTGACTGTGATCAATTTTTAGTATATATACTCTCTTTGTTGGACTCTGTTCCTGCTTTAAAATTGTGACGAACATTATTTGATTTAAAAGATAAAACCTCGCAGGTTATTTGAGTTTAACTATATCCATATATATACATATGCAGTGAAAAAAATAGACAAACGATATATAGATGCATGCCTTTTACTGTAATCATGTTTGAAAAGTGCATAGTAAATGTTGTTGTTAACACTACTATTTTATGATATATGCGGTTATAATTATAGTACTCTTCCGGTTTTTAATATAGGACCTAATTGTTGAGTTAGTTTTGATCCTAAATATAAGACTCATTTCTCATATTTATCAATTTTCTCTAAATTACCCCTATGGATACTCCCTCAACCATAATCAAGTAGAAGAAGGAGAGGGGATATTAAGAAAGATGATTATTATGTTTAAAAAAAAGTGTCACATTTCTTATAATTAACTAACTTATCTAATTTCTTTAATCTAATCAAATTAGTTAAATAGATCTTATATTAAGGATTAAAGATTAGAGGAGCATCACTCATCCAATAAACACAGCAGAATTAAAAAATTACATAAAAAATTCATCAAAAAGTACTATAAAATGAAGGGCCAACTCACTAGTACAGATTTTTCCCCCCCAAAAGCAGTTAAGTGCATGGCATGGAGAGATATGGCATTTAATTTCAAAAATGGCAACTGGCCTGCAATTAATTGCTTTCATATTTCTTGGTCAAAAAGATCCCCAGGTTAACAAAACTCAGTTTGGTCGTACCCTCAAAGAAATTAAGACAGCCATAATAATAATAATAATAGTGATAATAAAATAAATGCTAGTTTGGTCCACATTATTGAGATCTTGAAAATTGGCAGCTGGGGGTGCCTTACGATGAGGGGAAAGAAAGAAGGGACAAAGTTGCAGAAATTGTCAAAGGATAATGATAGAAGCAAGTTATTATTTTTTCCAATAAAAAACTCAAGCGTCTTGCCCTCATATTTATCATCACCATATCATCAACTTTATCTTATTAATTAATTAACGTCGATGCATTAGTTCGTATGGCATTGACGATCGCACGTGGGTCCCAATCTCTTGATTGATCATATCATCACATTCACCATATACGAAGCTGCCCATGAGTTATACATTAAAGGTTACTGGTGCAGCCAAGTGTTGGGCAGTGATGGTGAGTAGTTTTATCACACAAGTTGGCACTTATTAGCAAAAAAATTTTTTTTTAGTTCTATTTATAAATTACTTCTAATATGTTTTATGCAAATTTAAAAAATTTTAAAATTTGTTAATTTTTATTTAAAATTTAATAATTTTTTAATTTTATTTCTATTTAATATAAATTATATCATATGTAGATAAAGTCAATACAATAATAAATAAAAGGTAAAATT